AAAACCGTCATAGGAATGTCTCTCGGGTTTGCAACGATCCCAAAGTTTCTCAAGTCGCACAACGACATCTATGAAACCTGTGGTAAAGTTTGCATAATTGCGCTAACACAATCTTGGGTTCAGCTACTCTGGGTCAGATTTCTAACATAGCACTTTCTTGTGTGAGGTTACTAATTCTTTAGATCTGTTATTCAAAAAATCATGAGTGGACGTGTCACTGACATTCGTGTCTCTCTTATTGTTGGTTGTTTAGATTAAGTAAAATAAATTTCGTTAAAAAGTTCCTGTTGAGGAATATTATCTGCCTAGGTAACACAGTGAAGAAGAGTAAACAGTGTCAAAAAAGAACTTTCTCCAATATTCTTCTTTACCACTGATTACGCCTTTAAAGATACATTTGTACCTGTTTTGAGTACGAATTATTCAAGCGGGATTCCACATTAACCGACGTAAATCAAAATGTGTAGTGGAGCCGGAGCGTTCTTGACTAGTGCAGTACCAGTAGATTTAGTAATTATAGTAAATTAACGGTTTTCCAGCTCTACTTGATATTGTTTCTTAACCTTTTCGATTTTCTTCCATTTCGATTTTCCATTTTGAGATTTTTCCTTTGAAAGCTCCAAATCTGGATCTTTTTCAGGTAAAGGTCCACAGTTCAAGAGACCAGACAGAGTCTTCTGCTGCTAACAACAGTAACCGTCGCAAAAAGCATGTTAGAGGTTCAGCGGCTCGGCATACACTTGGCGTTGATGTACAATGGCTGAAGAGATTTGTTGGCAAAAAGGATGAACCAGAATCTACACCACCACCAGTCACGCCCACAAATGAAGAAGGGTGAGCAGTTTCTTCTTCATTTATTTTTGGCTCTATTTTTGAAAAATTGAAGGCCTGCCATTTGTAAGAGCTGCTCTTCAATCTAATAGATGAGATGTGTGGTAGTTCCTGTCTCACAATAAATTCTTGTATTATAGAATTTTTGTATACCCAATCCTGAGTACGAATATAACAAATTTTTCTGGGTCTATTTTGTCCCAAACAGAAACGCCTTAGTCGATATGAGGAATCAAAATCCTAAAACAAACGTTTCCCTTTCTCTTCTACTTTGCTATACAACTAGCTCTAAACATGGGGAATACTGACTTTTGGCCGAGCGAGACCTCGTAGAATAACAAATCTCCTCTTCCGTCACAATGGTTGATGACACTAATCAAATTGCATCTCATCGAAAAAGTTTTTCAAAGGAGGCGAAAGGGATTTGTTTAAGGCAACGTTTAGTTGCTTCTTCAACTTTGTTAACCTATTTTGTCAATGCATTTCTCAAAAATCACTTGTACTCTTTAAAATATGTCTAGCAATTAGATATGGTAGAGAGTGAGAGATCAGTTTTTAAGCCATACTCCCCCTCCCCCCTCTTTCCTCTCCATCCCCTGTTCCCCCTTTCTCTCTGTCCTCTTTCTGCTGCCATTCTCTTTAAAATATTTTGTTTCCATAGCTAGACCGCCTAATTTGATAGGCTTCCGGTTCTACTATCTCAATTAAACGAATTACATTGAAATAT